CCTATAGAGATGGAGTATAAATCCCATTGATGTGAACAAAAGGTCTAATCTCCAGTGGAGATGGGATATAAAATCCATTGATGTAAATACCAATGTGAAAGAGAGAGAGTGTGTGTTTTGAAGGAAGACTAAACCCAAAGAATAATTTTTTAATTAAAAAAGTCAGCCAAAGTTCAATCAATACCATGATGTATGCATTCGCCATTGTCTGTTAAACATCAGTGTAGAGAATTTTAAATTTTATTGAAGAAACCTCTGGTGTTTCTAACTGCCTCTGATCCCTAATGTATTTATATCGTACTGTACGAATTCCTTGCAGAACTATGAAATAATAATCTATATTCCCAAATTTGAAAATTAGGAAACAAACCCTCTTTGGTAAACAACATATCCAGTTCACCATATAGATGAGGTTGTACATACTGCTTCTGTCAAAAGTTTTTTACTCTGAAACTGAATCTCAGATAGTTTGGGGAAAACCTTCTAGTATCTTACAAAACGGATAAAATGCAATTATTTTTAGCTAAGTATATTTTTATAGCTGCTGCCATCAATATTTCTGCTCCTCCTCCTCTTTTATAATTCTATCCTGTGTGTCCCCTGGAATATTTCCTTCAATAACTTCAGTGCATATTCTCCCATTGAATTTTACTTATTGCATTAAGGAGGTAGTTTATCTTGTGTTTTTTCCTCCTTTTCTGTGTTTTTGTTCATAAAATGGTGGAATTCTTCACTTTTTTGGTTACAGCATGGTTAATACCAAGGGTACAGGATTTATTTGATCCCTGTACTGGCGAGCCGCAAAACCACCCCCCCAAAAATCCAAAGAACAAAACCCAAAAAAACCTCAATACATACCTTTTACTCTGGATGGTAATTTTGTCACTAATGTTATGCCAATAACACGTACTCTGTTCATTAGAGGATAATCGTGTGGTACATTCTTAAGACTGTCATATCTCCTTCCTGTATCATGTTGGTGTAACTTATAGATGCAGTGGTTGAGTTTAGGTCAGACAGTAGAAAGTCGTTTTTTTTTTTTTCTCTTTGAATAAATTTTGATTTCATCAACAAATATAAATTTCTTCAGGTTAATTTTTCTGCACATGTAAAGTTCATTATCCTTGGTTTCATTTTGAACAATTGGTGAGTCTGAAGACCTAGAAAGATTTTCACTGCATTTTAAGTATGAGGATGAATAAGATTTGTTCTTGACTGTTTTGTGAAGTTACAAGTCTCTATTAGCCTCTAGTATGAAGGGTGAAGGTTATATTTTCAGATTGTATATTGATTCATGGAGGAAAAATGGTGAATTTTTAAGGCAGGGCTGTACTACATAAGATGTCTTCATAGCGCATACACAAGTTGAGTGACTCACCCTGTGAAAAAGCAGAGACTAGAAGCACTGACATCCAGTCATGGAGGACAGGGCCTTGTGCCTGGAGTTCCTTTGAGAGAAGCTTTCTAAAATCTATGTGAGAATTCGTTGATGGAAATAAACTGGTGGCTTGATTGGAGGGGTGGAGGCTGTTTTCCATCTCTCCATCTTCCTTCTATGTTGATCAAGTCCATGGAACTTGGAACAGTTTCCAAGCAGAGAATGAACCCAATTTTCTGTTGTATTGGACCTGTAAAATTCTGTATTTTTCTTCAAGATCTGTCATGTGAACTTATTGATACTATTGCTGAATGTCACAATATTGACCACCGTGACTACCTGTCTTGGAAACTGTGACTTGAAGTGTCAGAGGCTCTGTGAACTCTCCTGCCCAAACAAGCTCTGATGAAATCCAGTGATGCGAATGTGTGGGGAATCTGAGGCTTGGTATTACATGCGGGATTTATGGAGTTCTTGTCAGATGGATTGAAGGGGGTGGTACTAGCCATTCTGGAGGCTTGGCACGTAGGCCTTTTGTTTATAGAAAATACATTAAGAGAGAAGATGATAAGTTATTAACTTTTTCTCTCTCCCTTCAGCCTTTTTTCTTTCCAATTTTTCTATTTCCTTTGTTTCCCCCCCTCTCTTTTAACTCTGATTTAACTTGTTATGATGAACAGTCAGTTTGTTAAATTTAGCCTTTTCTCAAAGCTTCAAGATAATGTTCCAAGATAATTATCTACATTTAAAGATCTCCTTTATACTTGAATACTCTTGAATATATCAAATTGTTTATGCCAGTATAATCTTCATTATGACCAGCAGAAGTCATGATTTCTTTGTTTAAAACACATAATAGTAAAAGTATATAGGCTTACCTCCTGTGGAGATGAGAGGATATCCTTTGTTTGGTGGATATTAAGAATTTTGCTTGATACCACACAGCAGTATTTATGAAATATTATAGCTGTATTCACTCATTGCCATCCAGAACTAGTACTGATCTTGATCAGGGTCTCACTGAAGTTATATGAGTATTGTGATCGCCAGAGCTGCAAGACTGAACTGACTGGATTGTGGGACTTAGAAAAGCCAACTAATATGCACAGCAACTGTCCTTTATCAGCCAGTCCTTTAAAAAAGACTGTGCAGGGTCTCTATTCCTAAGGAGCACCTCTGCTGCAGTGCTCACCTAGCTTTTATCGTTGGTTTTTGAACTGCGGTCATACGTATTTAAGTGGCTGAAGGCATCAGTACTTCCACCAAACCTTGATTTTTTTTTAGAAATTTCACAGACATCCATAGACATGTACAGCCACGTGCATGGTATTCTTCTAATCTGATGAACACAGCAAGGAGTGAGGAATAATGCTTTTCTGACTGGCACTTTGAAATACCAGTCAGCTTTTACAGAAAACTTTACCTGGCTCATGTGCTCTGACCTGTGTTCAATCTGCACAGCTCATTCTTCTTTTTTTTCCTTCTCTCAAGGACTAATGTGAGTTTACGAGTATTTTTATCTTGTCCCTCCCCCTCCCGCCTCCACTCCCGGGTTTCCATGGGCTTTGTTTCAGGCTCTGGGAGAGGAACAGTTGTGAATTCAGGTTGACTCATTTGACTCCCACTCTCCTGATTCTGTTTCCGATTGGTCGTCACCTTGCTCTAGGCATATGGCTGAAGAGTACTCTAGCCCGCATCCCTTTCTCCTTCTTTCCTCTACTGTTCCTTTCTGTTGTACATAGTGCTGGGAGCAGGTTCTGGGCTTTGTCTCTTGCTTCTAGTTTACTTCAGTTAGACAGTAAGGAGGAGAGCACACACTATATTTCCTAAGAATGGCTGTAGAGGAGAAAAACACTTTCCTTTTGTGCCTAGTATAGTAATTATTTAGTTTTCTGTGATGTTTTTGTCCAGAGTTTATTTTTTGGCAGGTGTCACACTTATGTTGTATTATTTCCTCCTGGTTTCTCTCCTCCCCTTGATTTGAGCTGTTTTTTGAAAGGGTTCTTGGAGTCCCTTTCTCTGGCTGCTGATGCTACACTTCAGCTAGTTTGTTAATATGTTTGATGTCAATGGGAAGGAGGACGGAAAGCAATTCTAAATAATTATTTAATTTTCAAATGTCTAAATGATAGTCACCAAGCAGTAAAATCTACACGCGATACTCAGAATTATCTGCAGCACCACTACTACTATTACTTCTCCTTCTAAACTATAGCAGTTCAATTACTCTGTCTTTTATACTTTAGAAATGAATTTTGAAGAATTGAAAGTTAATTTTTATAAGCATTTGATATTTTATTAATTTGCATTTTTATTATTTTGCAGATTGTTTCTGCAAAGATTTTTGACTCTGCATCCTTTTTTTAAAAAAAATTTACTCAAAGAGACGGTGTTAACAGAGTATAATATATAGCAGAATTGTTTTCCAAAAATTGACCTTTATATGATATTTTTGTTGTCTAAAGAATCAATAATAAAAATATAAAAATTCTCTCAAGAATGTATTTTGGTTTTACTTAAAGCTTTTAAAAATCTATTTTGTAAATATTTTAATGTTAAACTATGTTAAGCAAGTAGCACACAGGTTTGGATTATTTAGAGAATATTGGTGATAAAGTAGGTTAGAACCAGAAGTAGGATTTAAAAACTAATCTGGCCCTTAATGGTTTCAATTAAAAGCTCTTCATTCACTTCTTCTCCACTCATAATCTATATTAGAAAATCTATTTCTATTAGTAATCTATTTTTATCAGAAATAGCACACTTCAGCTGATGAACTCACTTGAAAGTATATGAGAGGAATGCTGCTTATACTTTCTTCCAGCCATTGCGCAGGAGAGTCAGAGCCCAAGTCCGGCCCCAAATGTTTACTATATATTTTCTGAGCCATTTGCTGGTCTTCAGTTCCATCACTTTATACATCAGGTGAAGAGAAAAAGACATTTACTTAGTAGCATAGTTCTAAGCACATACGATAGTTGTGAACAAATAAGACCCTGCCTTCATGGGGCTCACATTCTGCTGAAATGTATTTTAGTAATGAACGTATCCAAAAACACATTTTTCTTGAATTTGGACAAGGTTAGAAAATTCAAGAAACCTTAACTTGAAATTTTAATCCTGTGTAGCTAAATCTCTACTCTGTCTAAAGAAATGTATGCATTTCCACAGATCCTATCCCAGCAAAGAAGTCCTACTTGTGAGTTACACATTTAAGTAATTTAGGATGTCTGTTATTTATATTTCATATTGCTGGGATCAAGGTTTCTTTGTTTAAAAATCTGTCTAATGTTTTACACTGGGATTAATACATGTTGTTTGGTTCATGTTAACCGTGATGTCTTTTATGTACTTTGAACTCCTTATATGTAGAATCTATGTAAAAAATTTTTTTGGTGGTTGGCCAGTACAGGGATCTGAACCTTGACTTTGATGTTATGACATCACTTTCTAGCCAACTGAGCTAACTAGCCAGCCCTGTGTAAATTTTAAGTGTAAAGTAAGTTACAGATGAAGCTAGTTATGGAAAAGATGTCAGAGAAATATAATTGCTGCATATTTCTATGCAGCTGATAGAACAATATGCTGATAGATTTTCTTTCTTTTTGTCTTCATTTGGTAGAAAAGAGTAGTTGAACAGCTACGGAAGAACCTGATAGTAAAGCAAGAACAACCAGACAAGTTCCAAATACAGCCATTGCCACAATCTGAAAACAAACTACAAACAGCACAGCAGCAACCACTACAGCAACTACAGCAACAACAGCAGTACCACCACCACCACGCCCAGCAGTCTGCTGCACCCTCTCCCAGTTTGACTGCTTCACAGGTAAAAGTGTCATTGGAGCATTGCAGGCTTCATGTAGTAGATTGATTTGTTATTGGTCATGTAGAACTGGGTCCTGTTTCAGACTATACTAAGCTCAACTAGCGCTAAACAAAAGTTATTTTGGTTACTTTTTTGTACTATAACTGGAATAAGAATCACTTGAAATTCATTAGCAGAAGGAAATAACATTACTAAGGAGCAAAAGTTAAATGATTTCCTACCTGTCCAGAGGGGGAAAAGGGAGTCAGTGACAAAGAAAAATCACTTCTGTGCATTACAGCAGAATTAAAGCCTGATTTTGAATTTCTGGTGGTATTTGCACTTGTTCTAAAAGTCTGTGACTTGACCTCTTCTACTTGCTAAGAATTTCAGAAAAACAATTCCAGAAATAACATTCTAACTTGGCGTAGCTGTGCAAATGTTTTTACTGAGAAGGGCATATAAACAAGCATATAATGTAAGGATAGTAGGCAATCAAGATATACAGAAAGGGCATTTTTTTTTTTTTTAAAAGATGACCAGTAAGGGGATCTTAACCCTTGACTTGGTGTTGTCAGCACCACGCTCAGCCAGTGAGCGAACTGGCCATCCCTATATGGGATCCGAACCCGGGGCCTTGGTGTTATCAGCACCGCACTCTCCTGAGTGAGCCACGGGCCGGCCCAGAAAGGGCATATTTGGAAATGACATTCAGTTAAGAAAACTATTCAAGCTTGATCTCCACACACCTATATGTAGTATGAGCATACCTTTTAAAAAAGGACTGTGGAGCAGTGGTTCTTGTTCTTTAGAGGTTACAGATACCTTTAAGAGAATGCTATGCGTCCTTCCACAGAAAAATATACATTCACACTTAATACGTTCATTTTTGCATATTTCAAAGACTTTGGTATCTTCTTTTTTTTTGTCTTTTTTCATGACCGGCAATGGATCGCAACCCCCAGTGTCGCGCCCCTACCAGACCGGGACCGGCAACGGGATCGCAACCCTCGGTGTTGCGTCCGCACCTCGCTCAGCCAGTGAGCGGCCGGTCTGTATGTGGGATCCGAACCCTCGGCGGGAGCGCCACCGTGCTCCCAAGCGGCGCACTGTAGCAGTGCGCCACTGGGCCGGCCCCAGACTTTGGTATCTTCTGAAACCCAAGCATGGACCCCTCTTTCTCACCAACACTAAGTCTTCACTATATCTTTATAGGCAAAGAAAACACCTGTATTTTACTTGGCCATTCACTGTTAATGTACATTGAATCCTGGTTCATATATAACATTTTGCAAGTGAAGAATGAATTACAAATAAAAATACTAAAGATAATTAACATTTAATAGAGGTTACTGTATGCCGGCAGTCTCTTAAGTTCTTATATAGAGATAACAATACCTTCTTCGTAGGATTAGGGTGAGGAGTATGTCCATTATAAGTGCTTTACATATGTAATGGACATACTCCTCACCTTAATCCTACAAGGAAGGTATTATTATTTTCTCTATTTTTTTTAGAAGAGAAAACTAAGGCACAGAGAGGTTAAGTAATTTACCTAAGATCATATAGGTAGTATCTGATGGAGCCAAGATTTGAACTCAGATGTTCTGAATGAAAAATCTTTCCATTCAACTACTTTTTTATATTGCCATACAATATCAAAAAAAGAAATGCCAACACTGTATAAAACCAGAGAAGGAAAAAGGAAAATCTCCGTTGATACTGGTCATGTAGAGCTAGGTCTACATGTAGCTAGAGCAGCCTATGTAATTTTTACCCCAATCACCTCAAGGATGTTTGGAGATTAGGCATTCAAAAATTTAAAGTCCCCCGATCAGCATTCGTATTGCTTCTGGAAGATTACTTGTAGGATTACTTTTGTTGGAGTTTTAAACAGAGTTGGGTTGGGTTGTTCTCTTTTCAAAGTACAGTTTGATCAAAAAGTGTTTACATGGGCTGGCCCGTGGCTCACTCGGGAGAGTGTGGTGCTGATAACACGAAGCCCACAGGGTCGGATTCCTATGTAGGGATGGCCAGTTAGCTCACTTGGTAGAGCATGGTGCTGACAACACCAAGTCAAGGGTTAAGATCCCTTTACTGGTCATCTTCTTTAAAAAAAAAAAATGTTTATGTGGAAGGAGCATCGTAGAATTTATTGTTTCCTGTTATATAGGAGTTTTCTCTCTTAACCCATGGAAACTTTCTGTTCAACTAACAGAAAGTTCCATGTTGTACTAATTAAAGGAAATATTTATAATATATTTCATAATAGCTTTTCCTTTCCGTAGTAGCCTGAGTTCTGTGTTTCTTTGGGATGGTGGATGGTGAGGGGCCTGGGACTGTTTCCAAAACAGTGTTGTGTGGCATCTCTTCATCTGGTAGCCCATCTGATATATTTAATTGATTTAGTTCACCTTTGTTTTATATTGTTTTGTTTAATATTAAAAGACAAAAGATCCTCTAGGTTTTTGGTTTTTGTTTTTATAGTAAACTATCGATCAGTATTTATTGAACACTCTCTATGTGCTAGATTCTGGTATACAATCAGCAATAGTCCCTGCCAAGAACCTGGAACATTATGATAATTAATTTTCATTTATTCTGTAAATATCTATTGAGTCCCTACTATGTGCAAGCACTGTGCTAGGCAATGTGGAGGGCAGGTTCACAAATAAGACAGTTTCTTTTTTCAAGAATCTAAAATTGAGAGAGGGAGAGGAACATGCAAATCACTAGCAAATCACTAACAAGAATAAAGTAAAAGGACCAGTAAAGAGCTGTGAAAATACAGAGGACAGAATAATTTTGGCTAGAGGGATCAGAAAGTGCTTCTCAAAGGAGGTAGCATTTGAGCAGGACCTTGATAGATGAATGGGATTTCAGTGATAGAGCAGAGGGGAAAGAGCATCACAGGTGTAGAGAACAGTATAGTATGAACAAAAGTGTGGGGTTAAAAAAAGTAAATACATGCCATAGGAATAGCAATTAGACTGGTGTGGTTGGAGCCTGGATTCCATAAAATCTCCCAGTGGAGAGGGAGGTAGGCCAGAAAGGCAGGAAGGGGCTAGCTTGTGGTGGAAGCCCTCCAATGTGTGCCAAAATTTCTGGGTTTTTGGGGGGTTTTTTTTGGCAATCAGAGGAAGTCATTAAAGGTTCATGAGGGCAAGGGCAAATGGGAGATTATATATGGCATATATTAAATATGTAACTTCAGAAAGGAGAAACTATTAAGTAGCAATCACAGTGAGCCTGGAGGAGATGTTAGGAGGAAGAAGTTCGGGTGATTAGGATGTACCAAAGTATAAAGGAAGCAATGAGAAAGTCTTTCAGGGAAGAAGAGGGAGGCCGGTTCCCTTTACTTAGTTATCTCCAACCCATGCTTGTATGTGTATTTCAAAAATTTTTCCAATCTACGGAAAAAGTGAAAGAATAGAACAGTTGAATACAGGTTTACCCTTCAAACTATATTTACAACCTTTTCATTTTTAATGATATAATGCAAACATAAAGAAAAATATACTTACTAAAACCAAACAGGAAACAAACTTTTATAGACCAGAAGAAGGAGGGGATCTATTTATGGTTCTTTGAGTGTACAACAGTGACTCTCCATTTAAAATTCACAAACAAAATAATCTAAAATAGATGTGGAGGTTAATTAGAGCTCATAGTCTTAATCTGTCTAAATTCTGATTTATACACTGGAATTCATCTGTTTTAAATCAATACCTGATATTTTGCAGGTAAACAACAACTTAGCCAACAAATAAATAAAAAGGATTTTACTATTGGTGCTACTTGCCATGTATTTTTTTTCTTTCTTTCTTTTTTTTTTAATACACTTTTGTTTTATATAAGCACCTTTCTTTTTTTTTTGGTGGCTGGCTGGGACAGGGGTACTTGCCATGTATTTCTGCATTAACTTCTAGCTCATGCAATTTGGGTTTGGTCAAAATTAAAGAACCTCTTCATGAAACTGTGAAACTGCTACCTTCTACTGAAGGTAATCATACTTAAACAGCATTAATTATCCAAATTCATAATAACAGCCTCCATAAAAATAACTTTGTTGTTGGACACCTTTCCTCTTTGTGTCTTCTCTTCCTCCTGCCAGAACAGTTCAGATGTTGTCATTAGGCTTGGACTTCAAAGTTCTGGATTCCCTTTATCATCTAAACCCTAACACTCCAAGAGTTTGGTTTATGTTCCTGATAGTTGGAATAGAAAAGCACCAGACCAGGAGTAAAGATCTAAGTAATAGCTGTGTCTTGGTGTCAATAGTTAGTAAATATATTCTTCAGAAAGTTTTCATTGAAGCATATAGTACTAGGTCTTGTGCCTGCATACTATGCAGGGTTATATAGGTGTTAGAATACAGGTAGTGAAATCAGCCACAACTAAGTATTTGTAAAGTAAAATAAAAATGCTAACCTAAGATGTGAACAAACTTGTTAGGTTTCGATGTTTTTTAAGTATTAGGTTAATGGTAAATATATAATTCAGGTCAGTTTGAGGTTTTACTCAGGATTTTGTAGAATAATCAGTTTAGGGTTATTCAAAATATTGATAATGATTTACCTCAAACAAAAGTATATTGACCTCTTTTAAAGCAGTAACAGTATGCGCAACTGTTTTTAAAATCACATCAGTGAGTTCTGTTGACTAGAGCTTTATTCGTGAAACCCATGATAGCACCAGGATTAAATGCCATCTGTTATGATTTGCTCACCACTTCAAAAGTTTTTTGTATTGAAACATTTTAGATCAGAAGATAGGGCTAATATCATACTGTGTTAAAAATACTTATTACAAATAGCTGGTATTGTACAGTTAGTCCTTGCTGCTGTATTACTATAACATTTCTAATGATAAATAGCATTTGGCTTTTATTTGGTTTTCATCACTGATAGAAAATAGATTGTCCACTGCCCTCCAAAATAAATGTCAGTGTTCCCCTTTACTGCCATTTCACGTTTGAGGAGGTAAGGGCAAAGAGAATAAGCCACTTCTGTGCTGTTACCTTGGAAAAGAGGAAACAAAGACTTGGGTGATTTTAATTACAGGTATTAATAAGGTATGCTGATTAGGCTATGATAGGATAGATGAGACTAAATCATTAAATTTTTTGGTTAAAAGAAAAATAAAAAGATTTTAAAAGATTCGATATTAGATGATAATGTGTGTGCATAAGGCAGAAAATGGAAATAAATAATTACCTAGAACCAAACAACTTAATACACAGGTACTTACATAGACAGTGAAATAGAAATTCATAAAGGAAGTTGTCCAGATCTGCTTCTGGGAGAGCAGGTGTACTTTTCACTGGTCTAGAGCAGTGCTGTCCAGTAGAACTTTCTGCAGTATTGGAAATGTTCTCTATCTCCACTGTCCAATTTGGTAGCCATAGCCGCACGTGGCTTTTGAACACTTGAAATGTGGCTAGTGCAATTAAGGAACTTATGTTTTAATTAGTTTAATTTTAAATAGCCATGTGTGGCTAATAGCTGCCTAATTATATACTGCAGATAATACAGCGAGAAGAAAAGGCAGAGTAATATCAAAATCAGAACCAAAGAGTTTATCACATGCATTTTCATGTTCCTGACATGTGTGTATCTTGAGTGACTAGTAGCACCAGATAGATGTGTATGCCATGTAATGAGGTTGTTTATATTTTCTTGCTTTGTAACTGACTTCTTTAATTATTCTAGTAAAAAGTCTAGAAAAATACAGCTTCAAAGCTGCAATGGCACTTAAGAAGCATCAGTCCTCTCACCTCAGCTCATCCTCTAATCTCTAAGGCTTTTTGAAACTTGGGTGTTTCACTGCACCTTTGATCACTTCTGCAGTGGTTCTCCAGAGAAAAGATTATAAGTAGTGACTCATATCTCTTCGGTATCAAGAACTGATGTTTACTGTACTAGTTGGTTAATATGTTTCATTATCTGGAGTTTGGGATTTATTGCCTCTGAGGCAACAGTTGTCAAATCCTCATATGAGTTTCCCTTCCTCCTCTCCAGGGTGACACTCAAGAAAATGAAAAGACACTGACCTTTTACCCCAACCTTTGTGCTACAAGAGGCAGATAACCAGAATTATATGATGACTTTCTTCATATTCGTGAAGTTGTAGCTATTAAGGATAGAGATGATGTGTACTTCATTGATTTGCAACTTGTACAAAGTTTAAATTGAGAGCAAGCAAAGTATTAGAAAAACCAGAAGAAATAAGTACACTCATTCTGTATCTATAAATCCACTCAGTTTATTGTTGAAAACACCATGCCCATGTTAGTCTGCAGTTATTACTATGAACTTGCCCATTTGAGTGACACTAATTTAAGGACTCTAGCAAAACTAGAGATTGTGTTTGTCTATAGTAAGAAGTGTGCTGTATGTACACAAGAGAAATGTTATACAGAGAAACTTGATTGATTATAAGAGTTATTGCTTTGTTTTCTTCTGGGGTTTAGCAGCATATTGTTTAGTGGGATCACATTTCAGTGTTCTAATATCTGTTCTCCATGTCTCCTAGAAGACTGTAACTACAGCTTCTATGATTACCACAAAGACACTACCTCTCGTCTTGAAAGCAGCAACTGCGACCATGCCTACTTCTGTTGTGGGCCAGAGACCTACCATTGCTATGGTGACCGCCATCAACAGTCAGAAGGCTGTGCTCAGCACTGATGTGCAGAACACACCAGTCAACCTCCAGACGTCTAGTAAGGTCACTGGGCCTGGGGCAGAGGCTGTCCAAATTGTGGCAAAAAACACAGTCACTCTGGTAAGCCAGCAGCTGCTACTCATGTGTGTCCACATGAGAGGGTTCAAGATATGCATTTGTAGAGTATATTCATTTTAGGCTCCTGCTGGATTTCTGTTTCCATCATCCTGTTTCCATACCAATTCCCCATTGGGGCTGACAAGAGAATATGACATTTCTACTGTCTGCTCAAATAACTACAGAGGACACCAAGGACCAAATTCAGTGCATTATCTGAGGTCAAAGTGTGACTTGAGTTTAGGGGTAAGGTGTCCTTCACAGAGGCATACACACTGTTTCATTTATCTTTCCCTCTACCATATCCACATCCTTCCTGTGAAACTTCAGTGCTTAAACTCTCTTGTGCTATATTTCTGGTTCGGGGAAAACTCCCTGTAAATTATTTTAGTTCATTGTCTCTTTAAATTGATTGCACCCAGGAAGTACTGGAGTTGGTTGGAGCACTTAAAAAATATTCAAGATACCCACAAAATAACACTGTCATTGTCCAAGTTGTAATAGAAAAAAGATCCCTTGAAGGAAGAAGTACTTGAACAAGAATTGTTCATGAGATTTCTAGGATTGAGCTGTTTAGAAAACTGATGTTCTGAGAAACTTGGGGGAAATATATCCAAATTTTGGTGTAAATTTTCCTTCTTAAAATGGCAGCTAAGAGCTCTTGGTGCTTTGGAATGATGACCAGTGATGAGTGAAACTGGAGAGTAATAAAGTGAGGTTTTGCCACTTACCCAGGAATTCTTAGAGAAGCAACCAGATCATTCAGCCAGATGCTGGGACTTAGAAAATTCTCTATAGGAATAAAGTTGTTCACTGTTAGGTAAAGCTGTAATATCAGGAAAAAGCCCATTTGGCCAGGCAGCATGTTCGACTTTACTGTGGCTAGTCTTGACTTTAAAAAAATCTAAGTGCAAGAGTTCTTGAGTGTCAGAGGAAATTGTCTAAGATTGCTGAGCCTGCTATGTTCTACATTAGGTGTGTGTGAGGAAACAGAAGTGTGGTTGGTTCACTTTATAGGGTAAAGCAGGTGGAAGAGTAAAAAAAATTTCTTAATACAGTGTTAGTTCAGATGGTATAACTCTAATGAAAGCTTGCAGAAAATAGTGTCTGATCCAGAGAATAGTGAGGCTGGAAATACTTTAAGAATGCCTAGCTTTGATATTGAACAATGATTGTTCTCTCTGGTTTTATTTATTTTTTCTCATTTTTTAGCAGGTTCAGGCAACACCTCCTCAGCCCATCAAAGTACCACAGTTTATTCCCCCTCCTAGACTCACTCCACGTCCAAACTTTCTTCCACAGGTGAGTAAACCAGTGACAAGCTCAGTGATGGGTTATTTGGGACAAAAATTCTCACGGGCCCTTTCTAAGCAACCTGTAATGGGGCTTGTCAGCTCATCTGTATTCAGATCCTATTTAGCTACAAATTCTGACTACTGATTTCTCCACCACAAAGAAGCTTACTTTATTATCATAGTTTATTAACTATGACCAAAGGCAGTAGCAGGGGGAAGAATAAGAAAAGGAAAATTTCCTAAATTTAAAACAATTAATATAACACTATTATAAACCTTATACTGTTAACTTTCTGGAAGAATTTAGCTACAACCTGCCTGGCAGTGGGGGAAAGAATGCAATTACCCCTTTTTATTTCTTTCTTGTATGCCAAAAAAAGTAGGAAAGGAAACAACAGCCAAACTAACCAGTAGAAACCATTCAGTTCTATTTTGGAAAGTGGTAGTATTAAGCATCATACTTAAATGCAAGCCTTGTTTATAAAGTCTTAGGCTAGGGGACTGTACAGGGACTTTCAGCCTAGGCCCCAGTAGCTCTGCTTGCCCATATTCTCCTGAGTGTGTCTTCTAGCAGTTAGGCTGACCCTCACCATTCTCAAGGCAGAATGTCAGGATTACCCAGTGTGGACCTTGAGGGGTGTGACTTATCTGGTAGAAGGCTGAGAGTTCCTACCTGAGGCCCTAGGTTTCAGGCAAAAAGAGAAGAAAAAAGAATTTTATGGTCAGTGGTATAGTGATTTCCGAATAGCCTGGGGAGGGGATGGGCAGTGCTAACACGAGATAAGATGAGTTCAGTCATCTATCAAACCATTAAGAAATTCCTTGGGTAGCCTAACACTATACTAAACACTATGGATTTGCCCTCAGAGCACTTCAGATACAGTACAGGCAATTACAGTGCTCATTATGAAAAGTACAGGGTCTTCTGAGAACACATGGCAGGGACTTCCAGCCTTTTTTTTTTTTTTGGCAGGGGGGGGCTGTCGGGGGCAGAGATCTGAACCCTTGACCTTGGTGTTACAAACACTGCACTGTAATCAACTGAGCTAATCAACCAGCCCTTAAAAGTATTAGAAAAGGTTTCTTCAAGGTTTCCTTGAAGAGTTATCGTTCAGTATGAGACCTAAAATCCTGGTAGTTAGCCTGACAAAAGTTTCAGAGAGAATAAAAATGTCCCAGGCAGGGGGCAGGGGATATATACAGGTCTGGGGTGGAGGGATGCATGTAAGTTTAAGGAACCAAAGGAGATTTGCTGTAGCTGAACACAGAGGACCCTGTGGCTGATGCAGGCTAAGGTTAGAGGTGATGCTGGAGAAGTCCATTGGGGCCAGAGCCTTTGGAACCTTGTAGGGTGAGTAGGAATGTGGGCCTTATCCCAGCAGTAGTGGGGATCCATTAAAGCATTTTAAGCAAGTACTTGATGTGATCAGATTTATGTTTTAGAAAATTCCCATGAGGCTGGCCGGTTAGCTCATTTGGTTAGAACACAGCCTTGTAACACCAAGGTGTCATGGGTTTGGATTCTCATACCAGCCAGCCACCAAAAAAACTAAAAAAGAAAGAAAATTCCCTCTTACCACTGTGCAGAGAACAGATTGGAGATGAACAAGACTCTGGGCAGGAAGAACAGTTAGGACATTGTCAATAATGATAATAGCTAATGTTTAGAGAATCTTGCTACACACCAGGTACTATGCTGTGCACTTTACATGCAATACGATCCTCACAACAGTTCTATAAAAGTAGGTATTACTCTTTTCAGGAAAGGAATCTAAGGCTTAGTCCAGTGGGTCATGACCCATTAGTAGGCTGTGAAATCAATTTAGTGGATTGTAACCAGAGTTTTTAAATAAAATGAATAGAACATAATAGGAAATACTTGAGTACAGAGCACATACTATGTACTCTACTTCATGAAGTTTTTTTTTTATACAGATATAAATATATGTCTATAGGTTCATATTCATTACAGTGTAAAATGTATTCTTACTATGGGGCCAGTAGCACCCACCACAGGGTCATTTTAAGTTCAGCCAGATATTCAGACTCACAAGTCTCTTATGGGCCACACTTGGTACCAGTCTACTTGGAACAATATAGAACAGAAACCACAGCTTGCCAACAGGATGGCATCAGACATTTTTCTTCAATGGGAGTCCTTACAGCTTCCTATACAGCAGTCCCTACAGCTGTCTGGGGATAGCTCTGGTGTAAGGAAATGAGATCTTTATCTAGGATGGTGGGAGAGCTGCACTGGCATAGAAGCCTTATGCTCCACAGGAGCCAATATATCTTGTAATAGTTCCATAGGCGTGGCTTTCAAGGTCCCCACAACGTGCATACCTAAGTTACAAGAGTCACCTAGTTTAAGGAAGCCCAAAACATGGTGTCCCGTCAAGTATTTATAGTTCTCCCCATCCAGATTTGATTTAGCAATAAGGGGTCATTTTAATCATAAGCAATGTTGCCTAGTAACATAGTTGACATTCTTATCCTTATTGGGTTTCCAGGGGAACAGAGCTAGAGAGTTAACTGAAGGTCAAACCTTCATGCATAAGGGGAAAGGATTTTGCCCACAGGGCCACAGTTTGAAAAGCTTGAAAAATACTGGCTTAGAGAGATCAGGTATGTTGCCTGAGGTTATACAAATAGTGATAGAACTAGAGTTTGAACTCAGGTAAGTCTGAACTCATGTTTTAATTACAATTTTTTCCCACTGTTTCAGTAAGCTAAATATAAATTAGAGTAGTGGCAGTGAGGATAAAAGTAGACAGATCTGAGAAGTATTTAGGAAGTAGAGGTGGAGTAGAAAGTGTCAAGAATGATTCTGAAGTCTATCAAGAAAAAGCCATCTATTGGGGTGATTTTATGAAGAAGAGAGGGTTGGAGGAAGAAATTGATGAGTTGTAGACATGTCTATTTTGAATTTCTTATGAGATGTCCAAGCAGGGGTGTCTGATAGGCAGCTGAATATGATTCTGAAGTTCAAGAAATGTCTCTGGTCCGGAGGTAAAAGTGTGAAAGTCTTCAGTACACAAGTGGTAATTGAAACCATCGGATGGGTGAGAGCTCTCAGGAAGAGTGAGGATATTGGGAAGAAAAAGCATTCAAGTACAATTTCCTGAGAAATATATTTAGGATTGGGCACAGGAAGGACACTTAGAGAAGGAATGGTCAAGAATGGGGTGTTAAAGGGCCAGAAATGGGGGTGAACTGAATGAAGCTGTGAATATGCAAAAATTTAGAATATGAATAAAGGCCATTGGCAACATTATTACCATACTGGGCATAAGTTCTGGATGGGATCAGTCTCTGGATTAGGCCTTTGACCTCAGCCTGAAGAGGTAGCATTGTATATGAGAGGAAGCTGAGGATTTAGAATCGTTAAGTACTGCATTGCAGGGTAGCATCAGCTCCTAAGAGCAGATGAGTCTTTTATAAAATTTTATGTCCTGAGATCTGGAGAATCAATAGTACCAAAGTGAACATTAATGAATATTTGTATTAAATACCATTTCACATATATAGTGTGGAAGATTTAGCAATGTCTTAGACTTATAGGACTTAAAAAGTTTCTTTACGTAATACAATAATTATTTTCTCTTTCCCCCATAGGTTCGACCCAAGCCTGTGGCCCAGAATAACATTCCTATTGCCCCAGCACCTCCTCCCATGCTTGCAGCTCCTCAGCTTATCCAGAGGCCCGTCATGCTGACCAAGTTCACCCCCACAACCCTTCCCACATCCCAGAATTCCATTCACCCCGTCCGTGTCGTCAATGGGCAGACTGCAACCATAGCCAAAACGTTCCCCATGGCCCAGCTCACCAGCATTGTGATAGCTACTCCAGGGACCAGACTCGCTGGACCTCAAACTGTACAGCTTAGCAAGCCAAGCCTTGAAAAACAGGTACAGGCAGTGTGTGTACCTGCTCTGGGCAGTAGTCTTGCAGTTTAGGCATATGGCTGCTGGGCTCTCTCTAAATACATATTCTCAAGGGCTCCTCATCTCAGCACAATTGTCAATACCTATTGCTTATCATGTGATAGTTCATCCACATGCAAAAGATTCGTTCTTACTAAAGAAAGTTGGGTCACTTTTCTTACTATCCCCTTATAAATGGGTTTAGATTCCCATGTGAGTGAGCTCCCCCTGCTGGTTCCGATGCAGAATTCACAGATAGGGAAGCACAGATGAAGTAGTAAACAGAAAATGCCATATTAGTTTCAGCCCAGTAAGAATCCAGATGAGGGGGTAACTATGAAAGTCAGGAAGAATAAACAAAACAGGGAAAGGGGTTTCGTTTCAAAGATTTTCCTTGATTATTTCAGATATTGAAGAACCAAACAAAAAAATAACAATTGCTAAAAAGCATTATTTTAACTCTAGAGGAAACATTTTAGCTCAAATATTTAAACCTCCCATTTATATTTTCTGAAGTCAGATTTGCTCTTAAAAAATGAGGCTAGAGAAATATAGGTAACCTCCAAAATACTTAGGTCCTTTAGCAGAAAGACCTTTAAAAATAATAAGGATTTGTAGGCAGTCACCATATCCTATTTTTAAAAAGACCAGTGATGACAAGAATTTTGCAAAGAAAAGCATCCTTTCTTTGATTGCCCAGGCTTGACTTCTCATTCATCTGAAAATAGTCTCTGGTGATCCTGAATCTTTTACTTCTGGATGGCAGAACATGATTCAGAGAGGCTGGCCAGATTGTGGGGAATGAAAAGGCTTCTTGCTGCCTTGGCCTTCTTGAACAGAGGAATCTTATGCATAGAGCACTAGGTCTTCTACCCAGGGAGTTCATAAATGCAGCAGACCTTACACTCAGAGAAGCTAGGTACCAAAATCTTGTGCTCAGAAAACACAGAACACATCTCTCTTCCTAGGGAGCCTGCTCAAACTCCAGGAAGTGCCTTTAGGAACATTCAGAAATAAGCAACTTACCCATATTTTAGATCAGAAGTTTTAGATCAGAACTTTAGTATTATAATATTGAAAGTCAAATGCTCAAGCTTAGGAGTTTGGGTGGGGACATGTTTGGATATCATCTACCTCATGTCTTGTGCTGGCTGTCAGAAAACCTCTGAGGAGCATTAGTGTTCTACAAAATGTAGTTTTACAACACCATTTTAGATTGCCAAATATTATGTCTCTTTGACCTCTTTTTTGATAAAGATATTTTTAGGAGACAAAAATTATTTGTTTAGTTTTATTTTTACATTTTTTCCTGATTACAAAGTAATATGTGTTCTTTTTTTTTTTTTTTTTGGGTGGTTGGCCGGTATGGGGAACCGAACCGTTGACCTTGGTGTTAACAAGGCTGCACTCTAACCAGCTGAGCTAACTGGATACATGTTAACTTTTTTTTTTTTTTTTTTAAAAGATGACCGGTAAGGGGATCTCAACCCTTGGCTTGGTGTTGTCAGCACCACGCTCAGCCAGTGAGCAAACCGGCCATCCCTATATAGGATCCGAACCCGTGGCCTTGGTGTTATCAGCACCGCACTCTACCGAGTGAGCCACAGGCCGGCCCTGGATACATGTTCATTTTAAAAATTAATTCAAACCTTACAAAAATATAAGTTGTAGAAAGTGCTGTCCCCTATGATCTATAAAGTAAACTCTTCCATAATTTTACCCCCAATAGTTAATTGCTATTAACTGTTTACAGTACATTTGTCCAGATATTTTTATCCATATGCTAACACATTTTTAAAGCAAAAAACCAAGTCAATCTATATATTATTTTGTAGCTTGCTTTTTTTCCACCTAATAGATCATGAGCGTTTTTCATGTCCTGGCTTTTATGTTGATAAAGCTTTTTATTTTAGATATCCATGAATTCTTAAGAATAAAAACAAAAATTTTTTTTCGTAGCAGTAAATTCCATGGTCTGTCTTCTTTTTGATCTAATAGAGGAATCTAGTCATTGCTATTTTAGTTTGGCAGGCTTCCTGGCATAATGGTCTTACAGATTACCAAGCCTGGTCAGCAGGGAGTCTCCTTAGACTAGATTCCATTGTCAGAATTCTCTTACTTCAGATCTTTCTACTATCCTTCTTTTCTATTTTATGTTTTATTTCCAATATCACATTTATAGCCATTAAGAGATCTCATAGATGAGCTAAGAGTAAAAACAATGTAAATATGTAGCCATGAAAGTACCACTTACAGCCTATTCATAGAGTTATCAAATCTGTGTCTAACGTTCTCTATATGACCCAGCCTCATGGGTTCTTTTCTGCTTTCTGCTATTTCCTTTAGGGTGATAACATCATTCATTTAATAAAAACTTGCTAAGCGGTAGCTACATGGTATCTGTATACAAGGGTGGATAAATCAAAGCCTTTACCCTCATGGAGCCCAGTCTCTAGTGCATTTGGAGCAGGCACTGAGTGAGGCTCTACCTCCAAGGAAGGAAACATAACAAATTGTATAGCTCCATTGGCCTCCCACATTGGCATTAGAAAGGGAGAAGGCAATGCTAGTTATACAACAGTAGTCTCATTTCTTTTGCCCTGGCAGACATAACAAACTTCCTTATCCACTCCAGATAAGAGATCCCCTGTCTTACCCCTTATTAGAAGCCATATTACATTGTGGCTCTGAGAAAATGAATGGTAGGGTTTAAAGAGCTTTGAGGCTAAAGACATATCTTAGACAGAAAAGTAAATGAAGCCAGAGAAACTTAAGTTATATTCCCCACACCTCTTCCTTTTGTGTCCTTGCCCTCTCCCGCACTGTACAAAATAGGGGCTAACACTTCTTGGTGAAATGAGATAAAATATTTAAAGTCCATTAGACTGTGCCTGATGCAGAATTAGTTCTTGGGAATTATGGTCAGTTCTTCTTCGCTTCACTCCATACTCTGCAACAAAGGGTTATGTCCCCAAGGATAAACTATTGGAAAAAATCCAGGGTTTCTGTGTGGAAAAAGTGCCAGATTGCCACCAGACCTCCACTTCTATATATATATTTTTACAGGAACCTGAACAGTATTCTTTTCTAAAAGGAGTACTTACAAGACGAAAATATTATACAATGTATTATTCTCAAATTCAAGTCTTTTCTGTTAGTATACCTGAACCGATGACTCCCCTTCCCCCATTATAATACTGATGCCTAGCAGGGAAAACAGATCTAAAAGATCAAACAATTTTGCTTTGCATTAAATCCAAATTTATGTAACCTTGATTAACAGAACTGTTTGGACATTTGTTTGTTTGCAGATGCCTAACTTTCATTTTTCACGTAGCCTGGTCTCAGAAGGTAAATTTGAAATTCAGGGTTTAAATGCTTAACCTAGTTCTAGACTCGTCCGAGTTTTTGGATTCTGTCTTTTATAATACCAAAAAGAACAGGAGGACCAAATTCAAATAGCTATGGAGCGAAGCAGGAAATGTAAGTTAGCAAAGCAGGCTGAGAGTAAACAAGTGGACTTTTTATTTTTCCACTTTCAATGGGATATGAGTACAAGAGATATCCCGCTTTTAGCCTCAGTTCCTCTTTAGAATTATAAGTAAGAAAAGCGTGATAATAATTGACAATAGAAAGTGGAAGAGACTGTGGTAAACTGCGAAGTTATATGCTCCATCTCAAGGAAGCAGCTGCCTATTGGGAATAACCAATTTTTATCATATGGAGACTTCTTCAAAGAAAGCCTGAAATCCAGATGTTTTGAAGAGTTGCCTAGTTTTAAAAATCCTGGTAACTGTTTAAACACCATGTAGGCAAAAAAATAACATCTGCAGGGCAGCTTCTTTTTTTTTTTTCTTCCTATATAAAGATGACCGGTAAGGGGATCTCAACCCTTGGCTTGGTGTTGTCAGCACCACGCTCAGGGTAAGGGGATCTCAACCCTTGGCTTGGTGTTGTCAGCACCACGCTCAGGGTAAGGGGATCTCAACCCTTGGCTTGGTGTTGTCAGCACCACGCTCAGCCAGTGAGCAAACCGGCCATCCCTATATAGGATCCGAACCCGCGGCCTTGGTGTTATCAGCACCGCACTCTACCGAGTGAGCCACGGGCCGGCCCTGCAGGGCAGCTTCAACTCTGGATAATGGCTTATAATCTTTGATAGAGACCAAACATTTAGATTAATTGATCTTTTTGTTTCCTAACCTAATGTGTGTTTTTTTTAATTGAAGTGAAATTCACATCACATAAAATTAATCATTTTAAAGTGAATGATTCAGTGGCATTTAGTACATTCACAGTGTTGTGCAACCACTACCTCTGTCTAGTTCCAAAACATTTTCATTACCCCAAAATAAAACCCAGTATCCATTAAGTGGTTACTTTTCACTCACCTTGCCCTGGCAATCATCAGTCTGCTGTCTCTATAGATTTACCTATTCTGGGTATTTCATATAAATAGGATAATACAATATATGACCTCTTGTGTGTGGCTTCTTTCCCTAAGCATAATGTTTTTGAGGTTTGCTCACATCATAACATGTATTAGTGCTTCCTTCCTTTTTAATTGCTGAATAATATTCCATTGAATGTATATGCCACAATTTATCTGTTCATCTGTTGATGGTTGTTTCCATCTTTTGACTATTGTGAATAGTACTGCTATGAACATTCATGTACAACATTTGTATGAATACCTGTTTTCAATTCTTTTGGATATTTAGGAATGGAATTGCTGGGGGCATATGGTAATTCTATGCAACTTTTTGAGGAACTGCCAAAACTGTTTTCCACTTAATCATTTTTCATTCCCAGCAGCAATGAGCATTCCATTTTCTCCACATCCTTGCCAACACTTATTATTTTCCCTTTTTGTTTTGTTTATAGCCATTCTAGTGAGTGTGAGGTAGAATGGCATTGTGATTTTTATTTGCATTTCCCTAAAGACCAGTGATGTTGAGCATCTTTTCATGTGCTTGTTGGCCATT